GTAGTAGTAGTAGAAGCAGTAGTAGTCGTCGTCGTCGTCGTAGTGGTAGTAGTGGCAGCTGAAGTGGTAGCGGTGACGGCAGTGGCAGTGGTTGTGGTTGTGGCTGATCTGCGGGTAGCCCTAACACTACAGTTCGAGTTGAGATGTCGTTCCGCGGAAGCACAGCCTGAAACTCTAAATCCTAAAACCCAAAACCTCAGGTGCCCTACCTCAGATGTTTCGTGGACAAGTTCGACGGCGAGGTCCCTTTCCAGATCGGGTCGTAGGTTCAGGGTTTAGGGTTTAGAGCTATCTATATATATGTATGTATGTATAGAGATATATAGGGTTTCGGGATTAAGCTAGGGTTTAGGGTTCAGGGTTTAGGGTTTCGGGCTTAAGCTACGGTTTAGGTTTTAGGGGTCATGACTGCCCTATGGAGAAGAGGCGGCGTTCACAACCATGGAATTGCCTCGGGTGTGATTCCACGGAGGTCCTCTTAGAAGTTGGTGTTCACGTACCGGCGGCTAAGTTTGAAACATACCCATAGGCCCCTAAGTAGTTCCTTTTTATGGCTTATGTTTAGAATCTTATAAGGTAATCCCAAAAAGGAACTACTTAGGGGCCTATGGGCAGCCTTCAGCATGAGCAGCGCTTTCCAGTACAATCTTCATGCAACCGTGCTAGACGCGCGCCATCTCGCGCCCAAACCCTACTTCTGCTTGTTTCTGTGATCCAAGGCAATAAGACAGGGCGTGTATGATTGGCATAGGGCTTGGGCTTATGTACTACAGTATGACTTAATTATAACTATATGGGGATGGTAAGGGTATACTTGGGGGCTTGGGGTTATGTACTACATTAAAGCTATATGGGGATGGTAAGTACAAGTATTACCAAATATTGCCAAGCATTCCCCAAACCCTAAGCCCAAAGTCTGAACCTAATCCCTGAAAAATGAACCCTAAACCCTGAACCCCAAACCCTAAACCCTTATTAAATCAAGGCTTTAGGTTCCTTAGGCTCGGAAATGGGATTTTGGTTGGAAGGCTCAGTGTGAGGTGTCGTCGCCCGGATCACAAGCCCTAAACACGCAACGCTACGCCCCTAAACCCTACAAACCCTGGGATTCCTGGGTTGCTGTTGCTGTTGAGGAACTTAAACTAAGTTACCATGATAAGGAAAACACGTGCATTTACTATATATCCCCCTGAGGGTAACTTAAAGTAAGTTCCCGAGCAGCAACCCACCTTAGGGTTGCTGGCTCCAAACCCTAAACCCTAAACCCTATAACCCTAAACCTTAAACCCTATAAACCCTAAACCTTAAACCCTATAAACCCTAAACCCAATGCCTTCTTGCTCGAAGTTCCTAAGCTGCAGCTGACCCGAGGGATGAATGAAGCCTGATTGCCGCATGTACCCAAGAGTGGGGTTCAGGGTTTGGGGTGGTTTAGGGTTTAGGGTGGTCTAGCGTTTAGGGTTTTGGGTGGTTTTGGGTGGTTTAGGTTTTAGGGTTTATGGTTCAGAGTTGCCTACAGACCTGAAGCTTCAAACCCTGAACCCCAAAGCCACCTAAGACTCTTAGACCCTACCCATAGGCCTCTAAGTAGTTCCTTTTTGGTCTTACTTTATAGGATTCTAGATATAAACCATAAAAAAGGAACTACTTGGGGGCCTGTGGGTAAAGCCTTAAACCCTAACACCCTGAACCCCAAACCCCAAACCCCAAAACCCTAAACTTCTTACCTGTAGTTTCCTTTAACTAAAGCCACTGAACCCTAGCAGCTGGCTCCAGGTCGTCCGGCATGCGGCCGTACCGGGTCAGAAGCTCGTTTACGACAGCCACGACAAGAGCTACAAGGCTCCGGGGAGTTTAGGGCCTAGGGGGGCTTTGGATTATAGGATTTGTGTACAGGGTTTAGGGTTCAGGGTTTAGGGTTCAGGGTTTCGGGTTCTAGGGTGTTGAAGGATTCAGTTTGGGGGTTTAAGGGTTGCGGGGCAGAAGTGTTTAGTTTTGAACTCCGGGTTTGCATTGTAAGGAGGTGCTGGTTCAGAACAGCCCTGTGCGTCATTATCGGAACTACGACCGCCATGATTGCACAATCTGTACTTGCAACCACCATCTGCTGCTACTGAATCATCATGCGTCTTCTTGTCATGATTATCATTTTTCTTGTTAATATTGTCGCCAGCACTGATGCTGCAGCCTTTGATGTTGCTTTTGCTGTTTATGTTGCTCTCGTTGAAGTCGTGACTGTGACTGCTGCTCTTCATGTCGTTTTCAGTATTAAAAACCTTAAGGGGTTAGTCTGATTCGTCTTGATGATGGTTGTGATTTGATGGTGGTTTGGTGAGACTGTCTGGACTGTTTGTCGTTGTTACCTTTTACGCCAAGTGTTGCTGATTGATATCATCACTGTCATCAGCATGCTTATCTCTATCACTATAATGTTATTATTGTTACTATTATTATTACTATCATTATTATTATTGTTGTTATTATTATTATGTTGTTGTTGCCCCGAGAGTCAATTTACCCAAGTAGTATATACGTTGGCCTTAAAGTAGTCCCTATATTATAGGTACTTAAGCATATAGTATTTGGGTACATGGACGCTAAAGGCTTTGTGCCAACAGTTCTCCTGATGGCGGCGGAACCCTAACCCCAAAGGCGCCTAAACCCTAAACCCAAAGGCGCCTAAACCCTAAACCCTAAACCCAAAGGCCCCTAAACCCTAAACCCAAAGGCCCCTAAACCCTAAACCCCAAAGGCCCCTAAACCCTAAACCCTAAAGGCTGGTAGACGCCAGGCTAACACACTGACCGGCTGCTATTCGGACCTCCCGATGGACGGGGCCTGTGTCGGGACCTCAGCGCCCCTCCCCACACAAAAACCAGTGAGTGAGTGAAAGTTCTGCTATGTTGACGGATGTGCAGGGGTGCTACCCCCTAGGAACTGCTTAGTTTGATGGACCAAGGTCAAAGGTTGCAACCCTCTCGGTGCACACTACAACGTGCGAATAGCAATGGGCCTGTCATGGCATCAAGCCTCCGAGTACATCAAAGCCACGGACAGCGCTTTCCCCACGACCTCGGAATCCGAAGTCGCGAGCTTGGCTTATTCTCCAAGCTGATGTGATCCAGACACGACGTGTGAGTGTGGCAGGAAAAAGGTGTCTTGTGGGCGTGGGTCGGAAGACTGAACGCCATAGCTCAGCCCTCGCGCTACAACCCTCAACCCGAAGATCTCTGGTGCAACACTTTTAATCATATAAGTCCTGCATTACGCATAATAGGGAATATACCATAATTCCTCTAGTTTAGGGTCCTTAAGGTAGTGTAGGATTTATATCATCCACAGTATTGCCAACAGTATTCCTTGAGGCTCCTCACTACCAAACCCAGCCTGAACCCCAATGTAGGAACCTGATCAAGAAACCATGCCCCCATAACCCCAATATATGAGGATTCCTATCAAGAGCCCTGATAAGACCCAGGGTTTCTTAATCAGGTTCCTCTATGAAAAAGGGGCCTGAATGACTGCCTATACTATTTAGGGGGGGTTCCTTAATTATCCCTGTGCTTCCAGGGACCTTATTATTGTGTCCTTAAGGGGTCTAGGGCCCTAACTATAAGGCTTTTGGAAGCATAGGGTATTATAATCCCTACGTTATGTGGATTGCTCTTGTTGATTTCTCTGCCTTTCTCAGGGCATCTCAGCGGCTCCGTTTCCTGCGAAGGACGTGTTGTCATGCGGCACTGCAGCCTTGGGATGCTGGGTAGTACTAGGGAGACACCTTAAAGGAGGGTTTTGGGTTTTGGGACCCTTCTCCACCCTTCATTTGGCTCTCTTAAAGGGGGACCTTAGCGAGAGGGTCTATAGGCCCAAGGGTCCCCCTAATCCTAACTCCTAGAAATAAAGCTCCGTTGACGCATCTCTCAGGGTTATAGAGGAGTTTATGCTTTAATATAGAAGCTCGAAGAATTAGTCTTGTTCTTCCTTCGGGTTCTTTATTTTCATTGTCTTGACGTATACCATGGTATATGACTTTTGGAATTCTGCCGGTTCCGGAACCGGGTTTGGATCAGGTCGCTGTCAATACTACTGATGACTAAGCTAAAGTGTCCGACAGCACGACACTCGTTGATGCACAGGTCTGCTGCAAGATCGTCCGTAGAGATGGACCACAACGTTGCCATGAGATGGAGGTTCGCTGAACACCCAGCATCTTCAAGCAACAACCCACAGGAGCCCGATGAAAGCCAAGAAAACCCTCTCAATGGGTACGTGTTTGTGTACAAGTGCGTGTTTGTATAGACGCATGCGCACATTCGCAATGATGCCAGCAACATCGTGGCAAACGTGTTTAATGCATCGTTAGTTGACTAACGTATCCTTTAAGCAGTCACTTAGCACCCGGACAGCCGCCGAATCTGGGCCGCTTGCATGCAGAGCCTGGAAGTATTCTGCCGTCCTTTCTCGAGCTGAGGCCGTTTCCCAAAGGGTCCAAGTACTAGTATAGTCTGTTCTTTTGGGGCCCAAATAGCTACTAAGTGGCTACTAGAATGGTACTTGGACCCTTTGGGCTGCTGGCTGGGGCCGGCTCTTTGGCTCATGGGATGTCAGCCCGGTCAAATCGCCGTACCTTCAAACCTAGCTGGGCCTAGATGTCGACCCTCCCTCTCCCTAGACTCTACGCTCGAAACCCTCCCTAAACCCTAAACCCCTTATGAACCCTAAGCCCTAAACCCGACCGAAACCCTAAACCCTACTACATATAACCCTGAACCTTAAACCCTACATAAACCCGAAAGCCTACTACATAATCCCTAAACCTTAAACCCTACATAAACCCTAAACCTTAAGCCCTACGTAAACCCTAAAGCCTACTACATAAACCCTAAACCCTGCGCGGATGTGTGAAAGGCCGTTGCACCCTTAAAAAAACCCTATCTAAACCCTAAGGCCTACTACATAAACCCTAAACCCTAAACCCTACATAAACGCTAAACCTAAAACCCTACCTAAACCCTAAAGCCTACTACATAAACCCTAAACCCAACCCTACATAAACCCTAAACCCTGCTACATAAACCCGAAACCCTACATAAACCCTCAACCCTAAACCCCCCAGAACTGGCAGCACCGGAAAAAAACCCTAAACCCCGGATCCTAAACTCTACACCCTCAACCCAACCCTAAATCCAGGACGGAAGCAGTGCGCTGCCTTCTGCGAGGGAGGCCCGAAGATCACCTTCGCCCACCTTGGCTAATAAGGTTTGGGGCATTTAGGATTTATAGGGTAAGGGCTGCTTCGGTGTTTTGTTTGTTCGCGCGTTTTGCAGGGGCTAGGGGTTTCATAGTTCAGGCATGTTTTACAGCGCACCGTCGGGTGTGGTTGGACGTTGAGTGCTGCAGGGGGTCTAAGTCGGCTAAGTGGAGTGGAATCTTACGGAAATCTGCTTGCTTGCTGCCTCTCGGAACCCGTCAAGTGAGTTGACTAGCAAATAGCACACTACTTCACTACAATATGTGCCAACACCCTGCTCCGAATGTTGAGGCCGATGGGGCCACTGTGTTGGTTTGAGGACATTCATATCGTGAGTGTTTCGAGGCTGAGGGTGGAGGGGCGCAGCATTGGATTCGACAAACTTGATCCTTCTAGCCATAGACAGCTGTGATTTCCTACTTTCGAGGTAGGGGGAGTTTGAATGCGTCTAGAGTAACAGTTAGCATTGTCTTACTGTGGTCCCCATACAACAATACATCAGCAACCAAAGCCCTTCCATGGGAAACCAGGACTTCTCTGCCCATGCTCTTTAGGTTTGAGGGTTTGTTCTCTGGTTATCCTACTGTTTACATTTACTGTAATATGCCTTTTTTGAAGCACGAACGAGAGCCTACTTGGAGGTTCATGGGTAGTTATAAGTGGGGTTATAAGCTCCCTAGTATGGGTTATTACCGTAGATACCCTACTTATAACCCCACGTCTAACTTGTAACTACCCTAACTACCCATGAACTTCCAAGTACAACCAGGCGTGGAAGAAGCTGCAGGGGGCTCAGTCTTCCCTCGCGGACACATAGCCGACATAGCCCCAAATCCTGGCACCAAAAGCGAGAAAAACCCGAAAGCCCGCTTCTTACACTAAACTTAGCCCAGCACAGCCCAAAAACAGAAGCACTCAACCCTGAAACCCTACAGGGTGAGCCATTAAGGACCATAAGGGCTCTATTAAAACGGGTGATGTCGACTTAGCCCTAAACCCTAAACCCTACAGAAACCCTAAACCCTAACCCCTAACATCCTAAACTCTACATAAACCCGAAACCCTTATATTATAACCCCTAAACTCTACATAAACCCTAAACCCTAAAGCCCTAAACCCCTAAACTCTATATAAACCTTAAACCCTAAAGCCCTAAACACCTAAACTCTATATAAAGCTTAAACCCTAAAGCCCTAAACCCCTAAACTCTATATAAGCCCTAAAACCCTGAACCCCAAAGCCTCAAAGCTCCTGGAACCTCGCCCCTGCAATCCTACCCTCACGGAACCCGCAGTGTTTTAGAAACTCTGAAAGTGTGGGGAGCGAGGGTTGGAGGGATTTTCGGGGACATAGACCCCCCTCAAGAAGGTCCCTTTTTCAGAGAGCCAGAAGTAGGGTTAAGGCGGGTCCCTCATGTCATACTACCCTAAACCCTACACCCTAACCCCTCAACCATAAACCCTAAACCCTAAACCCTAAACCCAAGCCCCCAGGCCTCCTTTGCTTCGCGTGGCAGCGAGGCGTGGCGAACTTGCTGCAGGATCGAGTGTAGCCTTTCCACCTTCAGGGGAGCAACTTTTAAGTAGGATTTGGGGTATAGCGATTTAGGGATCTGGGGTTTAGGGTTTAGGGTTCAGAATCAGGGTTTAGGCATTCTAGGGTTTAGGGTTTGGGGGTCAGGGTTGCGTAGTTTAGGGCCGAAACCCTTCGCCGTAAACCTTCGAATTCCAAACTTGAGGTCCTCTGAGGGATCCCTTACAGAACAAGTGCTGAGAACCTTCTGGGCTCGATCCTCAGTCTCGGCTATTTTAGGGTTTAGGTTTAAGGTCTAGGGTTTAGGGTTTAGGGTTCAAGGTTTAGGGTTTAGGGTTTAGGGTTTAGGGATTTAGGGCTTAGGGTTTAGGGCTTAGGAGGGTTTGGCGTCTAGGGCTACTCAAGCGCGCTGTAACAAGCACGATGAGGGTTGTAAACTTGTTGCCATAAAAGTTCGACATGGGTTACGGCAAGGTTAAGAGGGTTTAAGTTTAAGTCCTCTGTCAAGGTTCCTTTTCTGATTCCTTTCAGGGCCCCATTACTTGAAGAGCTCCGTTGAGGATTTAATGCCTTCCTTGATCCGCTATCCTTTCGGTTTGATTCTTCATTAAGAGTCTTATGGGTTGTCCACGCGGTCGGGACTTCAAAAGCTTTTTACTGGGTTTAGGATTTAGGATTCTATGAAGGGTCTGGAAGAGGTCTACAAGAGTTCTACAGAGGTAGGTTTTCGGGACAGCAGCGGTTTGGGGGCATTGAGCCTGGGGGGGGGGGGGGTAAGTTTATCGGAACACGTGATTCTCTTGCGTGGAGCGGTGCTTCCTTATGTGCTTGTCCATGCTAAAATGACCAATGACCAAGGCCTCAGATATTATTCTCTGGCCTCAAACCCTAAACCCTAAACCCAAACCAAAGCTCTAAACACTAAACCGGCTCACTGTGGAGCGCAGGGTCTGAAAGCTCCCAGTGCTGGTACGGGTCTGCAAGCCCAAACACTCCAACAAATATATCCTTACTATAACTCAAGGAATGTGTTTGTAGCTTGTATAGGCAAGGGCCACTAAAGAACAGAAACCAGGCCATTATTCAAGGAACAGTCCTCCGCCGGTTGAGGGCCATTACTCTAGCTACGGAATGTAATGAAGACGCCTTAAATGACGAGTGCAGGATTTTGGGCTGGTAAGTCTCATTACACAGGGACTACAATGAGGGCTGTTACCACTTGTTCGCCCCGATGGCTTCGGCCCATCTCAGTGGTTGCAAAATCTTCGGGTTCAGGGTTTCGGGGTAGACCCCAAACCCTAAACCCTAAACCCTAAAGGCTTCTTGGCAGC